TTGACAATGTATATCAAACTTATTCACCTACTACTAGTCTAGACATTATCAATAGTGTGCTACATTCATAGTGTTTTCATTTCCTGGTAATTCTAAAATTAGGTAGTATAGCATATTTTGTAATATTTCAAGGAGTCTTTACTGCTTTATTCAACAGCCTAATATAAATCTTTTGATTCAAATAAATAAACAAATATATCTAATTTAATCGTTGACTTTTATTTGATAATGAATGATGCTGCTTCATATGTAACAAACATTCAACTGAAACTCACACAATACATACGCATACGTACGCACTCACACACACAAACACACACAACATTGTCCATATGATTCGGTTGCATTACAGCATAACTTAGCGCCTCCTGGCAATATCCTATCCAATTTATATATATATATATAAGCTTAATTGTCATTTATGTATGTCAAGGTCGGCTGAGTGACAAAACAATTAAACGATCATATAAACAAACAGGATATATGATTTATTTGTTTACAACTTTCTTTGTATGTGTGTGTGTGTGATCATTTCTTTCCTTTGTTTTCGACCTAATCATAATTACTATATAAAAGGTTCGAACAAAAAAATAATAATAATTCATGCGACGTTGATAAGATACGCAAGCGTAAGCAAGAAACAAAATTTCTTCAATGTTCAGTTTTTCTCAACAAGGGGTACATTTAGTGTGAATGAGTAACTTGGTTCGTGAATGATATTTCAATGATTTGAATTTTTGATGAAATATGTCTCCAAGGAAGGACCTCCCACTGTCTTTCATGGCAGTCAATGGTGAATGACATAGAAACTTTTAAACTAAAATTATTTTGTTCTTTATCAGCAACCTGTTAGATTATTTAATTATGAGATATCACTATAAAAATATTGCAAATGAAAGATCGAAAAATATAAATGCAAATCTTTACATATCAGTCGAATGGTTTAAAGTGTGAAAGTACACTATGGGACTTGATGATCTAGGGTGAGAGATATCAGGTGGGATTATGGATGTGAACTATTTAAGTGTTTCATGTTAGACCGAAAGAATTGCCAAGTGTTTGTTGGTTTTCAGTGGTTGTTTAACTAAACTTATTCTGTGTAATGCAGACTATGAAATGATTCATATTAATTCTCTGAAGTTATTTCCAATATATTACTATGTCACTAATTGTGTAGTCAGATTATATCATGCATCATGAGTTGAATCAATTTAAAATATTTTTTGTATTTATTTGGCTGACTTTATTGCCTTAAAATGTTAGTTAGTTTAGAGGTGAAGTGAAATTTTCAAAATTTGCATGATATGACATTCTTTCTTCTTAAGAAATTATTACAAACTATTTATTTATGAATGAATCAATAAATTCGATGCTGTTTGAAATTATTTCGGTCTAGAATGTCTTTTTCTACAGTTCAGATAAATATTACACAGTTTACTCAACCTTCCTTGGAATGTATGGATCAAAAAAGCTGCGGTTGTAGAGTGAGGATAAATATCTCCACTTATTGACAAACTAATCAAAAAACTCGCTAACCAAACTAGAAACTAACTGATACTGATCACATGACATTTTTAACTGGAAGTCATAAGACAAAAGAAAATAAGTTGGATTATAAATTAGTAATCTAAAGGTTGTAATCATATCATCTTGCATATTTCTAAATGATAAAATCAATAGATATAATTGCACTTTTTCTCGAACATTTTTTAACAGTTCATTTAGTGTGATAAAAATTTTTGTTAATTTAATTACCCTCTGTTTTTTTTCTAAATTAAGTGTTTGTTCTTTTCTTTTGTTCATAGTAATCTTTGTTGATCGATTTTAAAATAAATCGTATTTAATTCACTACATAATTACACGCCATATTTTCAGTGTGAAATCTTCGAACTGATTTTATAGTTTATCAACATATTTTATTCATGAATTTTAACTTACACCTTTGTTACAAGGTCCATGTATTAAATATACGAACAATAAAGTATACAGTGATCATATTTATTTTGATAGAAATATGAATTCTCAGTCTATGGTGATGCAATCTCTATTATGTTAATTTCTTGAGTTGAATATTTATAAAAGCGAAAGAAACTAAATGAGAAACGTGACAAGATCAACTTCATATGTACATAGATTTTATCAAGTACTTGCCGAATTTTACAACTTAAAGTTGAAAAATATCCTTATAGGACTTCTGAAACGGTATCATCAGAAGATGCCATAGAACTATAGTGAATGAGAACACAGGCGGGGCCACCGAATTGTATTTAACGAAAATTACAGAGTTACTCAGTAAAATCGGAAAACCATATCGTAAATTGTTCATTTGCAAGAGATCAGTTCATCCTATCGAACTGGACTGTTCCTGTTGCCAAACATCAATCCGCAGGCACTACTCATGGGTTTCATACAAATTCCATTGTTTTTTAACTCTTCCTTTCTTGATCTTCCCCCCATATTATGCTACCAGACTTTACGTTGACACTCACGTTATATACTACTTATAAGTAGTTCGCACCACAGCACCACAGAACTACTCAACATAAATATTGATTTATATTACATTCTATTTCTAAGTGAGAGAGAATAACTTAAAACTGTAGAACATTTTTATATTACTCACGAAAATCCATCCATGAGAGAGAGATTCTTCGATGGGAACTGAGGATATCAATATACGTTAAGTGGTGATGAATACAGTTATTCATGGAAATCGTCCTGTCTATCAGTCTGATTTAAAATGAAAATACAGACCAATGTAATTGTTACTTAATGATTGCTTATAGCAAGACCAGATAATCCTAGGAAATAACTCTCCAATATTTACATACTTTCAATGACTATCTAGCTGAAAACCTATTTTAATAAAATTACACTATGTTTTCTACAAAATCAGTTAAACTAAGCAGTAGAACTACTCTAAATAAGTTTAAATATAGAAACAAGAATCTACAGCATTCAATATTCTATAATACCTGACTATTTGACAGTGTACCCGTTATTTAAGAAACTAGTCAGTATTGAAATATTTTTCTATTCACTAAATGCATAGTGTACACATTAGCTACAAATAATGCATTCCAAGCATTCTTCACACTAGTAAAAGAATGAACCTAAAAAAGTAGACTGTACGTTTTTTCTTAGCATCGACAATGTATAACACGAATAGTTTTCATACACGAATGTATCATGAACAAATGTTCTTGCAAAAATAATTCAATGACTGAATTCTTTGACTTTCACAAACAGTAGCCTTAAAAGAAAATGTGTATAGTTTTATGAAATCAACATTGAGGTGTGTAAGATAAAAAAAACAACATGAAAATGTCTTCTAAAGCAATCTTACTGTCAAAATGGTAAACAGTTGCTTAATCTACAACAATCCAATTCAGTCATCCTGTTAAATAATGCGTGAAATTCCTAATGATTTGGGGTTTTGTTTAACTAGAATAAGCAATAACACAATTAATTATTTTCGGTTAGAGTTTCGGAGATTTGTGTTTTTTACACATTTGAAATATTCAATCAATCATTGTTAGGCCACGATTAGAAATCTAGAAGCACTGAGAGACGGCCGTTTCGTCCTGGTATGGGACTCATCAGCAGTGAGCATTGACGACTCCCGCATCTCACAGGATTCGAACCGGGGACCTTCGGTATTGTGCGCGAACGCATAACCATCGGACCACTGGGCCGGCATCCAACGGTGTTAATGTCTAACTCTGACTATTCTTGTTGGTATTCACTTCAAAAAGAGAACACAATCCATTTACTGACTATAAAACAGCTAATAGACTAATCTTAAGTAATATACATGACATTTGTAACTTAAAATGTCGATATCCACCGAAAACAATCTGTTCTAAGTTATAATCGGTAAAGCTGAACTTGAAACAGAGAATAGTGAGTTTCATAAGATGAGAAGAAGATTTTAATCATCATTCATGAGTAAACATGACCATTTTTTTAAATCAGATACTCTCATTTAAATAAAGATTTTTACTGGTATTTGTTGATCAGCCAATAAATAGTGAACATAAATAAAATAATGGGAATAAATAAATGAATTATTCACTGAAATAATACAAAATGAATGCTGAGCGAATATTGTACTAAATGAATACAGCCGAATGTTATACCAAGTAAATACCATAATGAATTGTAACATTGTCTTCCTTCTTATTTCTTTGTTTGACTGAAGTGACTTGAACAGTCAGTCAGTCAGTCAGTCAGTCACAATGTAGAACTTCGTACGTATGTACATAAGTTCATGTTACATTAGCACAGAGACGCAAATGTCAAATCAAATCCAGGAGTGATAAAGTTAGTAGAGGTATTAATGATAATGAAGAAGACTAGGGTTTGAAGATATTATTCAAGAAGTATAATTCAGTGAGATAAGGTTAGAAATACAAAGGCAAAGGTGCTGGCGAATCCAGAAAATTAGGATTTGAGAGACAACAACGAATGGATGCACTTGCGCCATTGCAAAGGATTTTGAGCTATGTCGTTCAAGGTCTCTAACCATTGGTGACTTTCGTCTCGCGGACCCCAACCAGGTAGCCTACATCTACCAACATGTTCCCTCAGTCTACTTGTCAGTGACTTCATGGATTTCTGCCATGTTTTTGGTCTGGCCGCCCCTAGCTTTCTTCCGACGTATTCCTACATCACAAAACATAGCTCGTCAAGGCAGTCGGTGGTTAGGCATTCGTAACACATGTCCCAACCACCTCAGCTGATGAAGTTTCACCACTTCATCTATTGATCTGCCATCCTTACCTATTACTCGTCTCCTAACAGTAATACATTTATAATAGTATCTCTGTATTTCAGTTTCTGTCATTTCAAATTTTCTTATTGTATGTTACTGGAACATAATATACTGTATAGTTTTACAGTGTGGTGAATAATTTCAACCTTTTCGTTATACCAGAACCGGAAGAAGTTTATGAATTTATTCTATGCCAAATTGTTTGTTCTTTGTTTATATTTTTTAGTGCAACAAGATCCACTTCTGAAGCATTTCTCGCATCAAATTACTTTGAACCAGAATTCGATAGCATGCAACTTCATCGACAATATCCACAAAATTTATTATCAGAGAATAGTAAACGACCTGTTTGGTACTTGAGCAAAGATGAAAATTCATTAACTTCTGATACATTCTATGAACCATCTACTTCTCACTATGAACAACAACGAAATTCCAGATACATGAAAGAGAATCCACAAGTTTGTGAAAATAAAATGACTACTTCACATCTGCTCACTGATCATCACTCAAAATCTGATAGTCGTTTAGATTTAATTCGATCTATCGATCTAAGTGAGGATAGCTCCGATGTTGACAAAAGAAACAGCTTAAGCGTAACTGAACCAATAACTAAGTCAAGTGGATCTTCTCACATGCATAAATCTCAAAAGACCTGCAATTATCGGTCGTCTACTACGTAAGTTGTCTATCGATTGTTTCATATTGTCTTAAAATCATGCACTAGTCATTGGAAACTTAAAAGCGCTGGAAGAACATTTCGTTCTTGTATGGGACTCCTCAGTTGAGAGCATCCTCTACTCTACGTGTACAGGAATCGAATCCATTACCTTTGGTCTCAGATGGGAACGCTTAACGAGTTATAATCATCATATACTCACTAGTGGCTAGCTTCATGAGAGAAGCCTCGGAATTTTAATGAGAAGCCGTGATGAGTGGAGTTCAACCATGTCCAGTGTGAGGCAGTTAGCTATCGAAGACAGTGGATGAGGTTGCTCAATATCGGGGATTGACTGAAGGTAGACATTAATATACTCGGATGCCAGCTCAAAGGTCTAGAGGTTAACCGATAGCACTCTAGGCCGGAGATACTAGTTTGTGGGGTTGCGGGGTTGCACTGTTGAACAGTCTTATACTAGAACAAAGACGTCTCCTAACGCTTTCACTTTTCCAATGGTGGTCTAACATTGACTGATTCAATGATTTCAATGTAACTCAACAAACTTCGCAACCATATACCGACAGTCATTCTACATGTCTAACTATATATAAGAAATGCACAGTCGAAAGTTCGATGTAGTAAACGCTTGTGACGTAACTTGATGTTGTATCAAGGAATGAAAATCGTCTTTCTCATAGCAGTAAGAATTCTTAACCAATTATTCATGTTACAGATCTCGATTTTCCATCAGTGTATCTTATTCTACTTCAGATATGTTTTAATAGTTTAGTTATGAGTTAACGAAATACTTTGGTAATGAGTACTTTCCCTAAACTTTTTCATGGTAAATTGTACAACAAATAATACAATGAAACAGATTTTTCTTGATATTTCATATTATTTTCTGATGAATCTTGAAAAAACCATGAACATTATATATATATATATATTATCGTTTTTATGAACAACAGATGCCATATATATATATATATACCACTTGCTGCAAATATATCATTCCTACAATAAGTTAGCTGTAGTCTGAATTGTTTAGCGGTCATATCACTGATGTTTATACATTGGCTGACTTGTAAGAATAATAAGTTCTTTTCAGATTGGACATCTAGCGGTTTGAGGTAGTTATTAGAAAACTCCATCTTTAGGATTTTCTCGTAAATTGCATCTACAACTACATTGGAATTCATATTACATCAAAGATTCATATGTTCATCATTTACAGCACCTCAAATAAAAGATCATTGATCAAATCGATTTCGAAACCAGAATTAAGTAATTGGATCAATTTTCGAATAGACAATTTATGTTTTGTATAATGCAATCCATTCTATTGATCATTTAATATGATTAAAAAAGTGAGTGACCTAACTGATAGCTCATGATAATATATAATTTTATTTGAATTTGCATTGTAGAAATCCAACTGAACATAAAACTATCACACGAATTAAATCAAACACTTTAGGATCACCTATGAATATTAAAACAATAAATTCACATTTATATGATAATATTGAAAGATCACAACATATCAAAAAGACTCGATCTAAAAAAAACCCATCAACTTTCAAAAATATTAAACAAGAACAACAATTTACTGAATTAAACACTTGGTGTACATGGATTCGATTGAAAAAAGCATCAACTACAGATTCTTATGGAATCGGTGTATCTGAAGGTATATCTACTATGGGCATATTTGTTAGTGCAATTCGTCCGAATTCACCAGCTGATTTATCTGGTAAACTTTTTCTATACGATCGTATTTTAATGGTACGTTAAATTTACTAAAGACAAATTTAATCACTTTGTAATATTAAGTAAGATTTGGTCACTTTTACTTGGAGGTTATGAAAGAAAGCACAGGAAAATTAGCTCAGTATTTATTCATCCGTTCTTTTAACAAAACAACAGTTTTCTTTGAAATTGTTTGAGTAATTATTTTAAACAGCATTAGTCTGACATCGATTCACTGTAGACCGATTAAACTTTGTAGTCCACTCAAAACGATCAGTTACTATGATTGACAATGTTCGTGAATAAAGATGTCTACCTTAGAATATGTTTAAAGTTTCCATTATGTATTTTCAGTGTAGTGATTTTCTATTACCTAGATTCTTTCATCTAGTCTGATTCCCTTGTAATCTTAGGTTAGTTTAAACCAAGTTAGAAATAAAATATTTTTTTTATTAAATTCCAGGTAAATGTTGTTAATAATATTTCTTTTGGAGTACATTTTTTAATTTGATGTGATTTCTCTTGAAATCAATTCATTTCAGACATTCTTTTCATAACGGTTTGATATTAGCTTTCAAGACCAAAGGACACCCTTCGAATCTATAGCACAGTACACTCTCTGACATATACAACATTTAACTCCTCGAACTTACTGCCTTAAGTCTGTTGAGTTGAATCCGAATGGTTCGAATTTATCTGTCGATGAAATCACCGATATCTTCATATTAAATTACTTAAATTAATATCTTCGAAAATATAAAGTTTAGGTGATATAAACCTCATATTTGGTTGCAGAATTTTCCAAAAATGTTTTTAGAGCTTTTTGATTCATTGAAGAAGCATTGAAACCTAGAATAAAACCGTTTATAACTATGATTGCAGAAAATTTTACTAAATGATTCTTTTCAAATGAGATTTTAAACCAATAGTTGTTTTTTGATATTAAAACATTATTTTCAACTAAGTTCACAGGAAGTAAAGTTTAGTAAAACAATAATAATAATAATAACAATCGTTTATATACTGGCAATGTCAAGAAATATTGTCTCAGAATTATACAGCGAAGTCATTATTCATTCATTATTGATTTTGTTGTTCTCATACACAGTAAGAGACGTGCAGTCAAATAATTAAAAACAACTCTTGAAATTCTATCATCCATTGATTTTAAGTAGATTTCAAGTAGATAGTTTCTTCTCATTAGCTGAGAAATAAATTGATCACAATAAGTTGTATTATCCTTTCACAGTGCATATTCTCATTTTAATGTTTTTAAATTGTGAGTGAACATAGTATAAATGATTACAGGATAGTGCTTACTATTTGATTCGAAAGTTAATTGATTATTAAAGAATATAGAGTTTTCGTTGTCTGAATTTCTATCTTTCACAAAACCTTTGCCTAAAACTACCCTTACTTAATTAGCTAGTGAGTGAAGAAGTTTACAGGAAATGAAATAAACTAAAAGCCATGAAGTAGTGGAAATTTATTTCATTTTAGGTCAGGGCTCTAAGCAACAGACCATCCATTACTTCATTCCGGGTCGAACCAAGGACTTTGAAATTTCGAAGAGATTACTATACCTGCATATTTCTATTATCATTCACTTGTAATTCTTTATTTTCATTGTTTTATTTCTTGAATAACACTAAATCAGTTGTACTTATTTTATATTTTAGGTGAATGATACACCAGTAGATAGTTTAACTTGTAGCGAAGTGATAAATCTTATTAGTCGTTCAGAAAAACGACTGGATTTACTAGTACAACGTCGTATCATAAAGCATACACAACGAAGTAAACATTCACATCAAAATGATACAATTGATCTATCGAATAAATCTTTGTTTACTGGAATGTCAGCGGGAGTCAAATCAAGTGGTACATGCACATCTACAATGGACAATGAACATATTAACATTACAGCTCTTTAAAAAAAAATAGTCAAATACATCATTCCTCTTTTTTATATATATATATATATATATTTGAAAATCTTTCTAATTCACTTTACTTTTCGAACATGTATGAAATAAGTAAGCTTGTAGAACGTTTAACCCGATGTAATTGTATTTTACTGTCATAATTGTATGTATATATATATATATACCATCAAAAACTTTGCATCACAGTAGCACATCTTGTAATTGTTTTCATTGGTTATCATGTTTCTGCTTACCATAAATTCAAACCTATTTCTTTTAGATGAAATATTTTAGTTAAATGTTACTTTAATGCTAGAATTAACTTATAATTTGTTCAGTTTACGTAAAAAATAGTATACTAAAAAAACCTTTTCAAATTTCATGCATCTACATTTATTTTTCATTCATTTTTCATTATTATTAAACTAGTAAATTATCTCCATTCATTAGAAAAATTGAAACATTTAACATAACTGCTTTATTGTACAAAAATCATTGATTAGATTTATTTTAATCTGTTGTATTCCATTGATGTGCTAAAAAAAGTATACTGACGAATCAAAATATAGATTATAAATATTTATAGTACTTCATGCAGAATATATAGAAACACTTGTCACTTAACTAATTCGAAAGCATAGATATTTATAAATAACTCAATAACGTTTTTTTTTAAAAAAATTCTTTCTGTCATTTGTGAATGTTTTCTTTCTTCATTTGGTCTTTATCGAAACCACACTTTGTCATTTGTCTTTATTCCTTTTTGAGTTTAAAACCCAGTGATTCTTTTTAAATGGCTAGCTTTACCTTATCATTAATGAGTAGTCTTTTTCAAAATTATCTTTATTGTCGTTCTTTTATTCGTATTCTACACCTTATTGTATAGTATTGAAATATTACACAAATGAAATTTTAAATGTAGTTTTTAGTGAATAACAAGTTTCTTTCACCATTCATATGATTATTGTCAGTGTTGTGAATATTTGATGAATGCTTAAGAGGCGTAATATTTTACGCATATATTTATTTGGATTTTTATCATGAGGAATTTCTTAATCAAGCTTAAATTTCCATTTCAAGGTGTTCGGAACCTTGCGTTGTCCATCTTACGAATAGTTCAGTCTTTTTTGGTACATGTACATTCTAAGAGCATTACTTAGATGTTACTACACGATCATTAGTCTTAATTATACTGTAAAGTTGGTTAGAAGAAGCATTTCGGCGTAATATTTTGGGAACGATGATTCTATTACCGAACATGGTACATGTGTTCATGTTTATAAGGAAGTCATACTGGTGAAAATAATGCAGCCATTCTCCTTGGAAACCATGGTCTGGCCGTTATATACGCAAATCACTCAAGCTCCTCTTCATTATCTTGTCATCTTCGGTGGCCTGCTTGATATCGCGACAGGTACGTTATAGTTCACCAACTGGGTTACCCAGCATTCAATAAACTTTCTTCCACGTTTCGATTACCGCCACTAGAGTATCTTCTTCCAGTTTCATTTATGAACCAAACGGTCTGGACAGGGAGTCTGCTTGTCCAGAATTCGTAGCGGTTTCGTAATTAGTCCTGGAGTTGTAACCCATAAATGTGGTAGCCTATCGTCACATTTGTCCGCACGAAGCGGGAGGCCTTATTACGCTACTTGTGAAAAAATTAAGTTGAGCTTCTAATTTGGGTTCCTTCTATCCACTACCTTGTTCATGATATCATCTCGATACGCTGCAGCACCAGATATATCCTAGAGCAAGTTGTTCACTGTTTGTTGGAATTTCGAGGGCACACTATTGACTCTAAACGGTATTTCGTTATATCTAAATGGAATCTTATGTGCCACAGCGGTTAACAGCTATTATTACTTTGGCTCGAGGAGGGGATCGTAGTTCTTGTATTCGTAGTGGTCTCCAGTTTCTAGACCATTCCAACTTTCCAGCATCTAACGCCCCTCTAGGATCAGGTAGATCTGTAGCTTCAAGCTCCAAGTGAGCACACTTCAAGCTGCGTCAAAAGGCGGCTAGGAAATCGAGCACTGGTAAAAGCAAGTCTGAAGCTTCATCTAATATTAAATTCATGGGTTTTAAAGATCAAACAGATGCGTACCGATTCGCTAGAGTATTTCATTAACGTGACGACATATTTCAAGCTTTATTCGATAAATTTCCGCAGCTAACTAAACCTCTCCAGGAAATCAAATCGGTAACGAATCGTGTGGTACATCATATCCTCATCCGCGGCCCGCCAATCACTCCGAAACCTCGTGGACTGGTACCAGGCAAATTAGTTTTCGCTAAACGTGAGTCTGACAGTTTACTAGCTGCAGGTATTATTCGTCCTTCTCACAGTCTAAGGACGTCGCCTCTCCATATGCTTCGTAGGAAAGATGGCGTCGGTTGGAGGACATGCAGTGGCTACAGAGGATTGGATGTAGCTACACGTTTTAATAGTTACTCCATCCTCCACATGCATGATATTATGCCATCGCTCAAGGGCACGGCTATTTTTCTAAGATCACTCTGGGTCGAGCATATCATCAGATCGCGGTCCCTTGTGAAGATATCAAGAAAACTACTATCACGACTCCTATTGGTCTGTTTGAGTCCCTAGGAATGCCATTTGGTTTGGCAGCTCAAACTTTCCAAGGTTCATCAATAGCATACCACGAGACTTAGATTTTGTTCACATCTCTATTGATGACCTGCAACTCGCATCATAAAACATAAACGAACATTATCAGCACTTAACACTGTGATCCTAGAGTCTTCCAATGAAGAAATAAACGTCAACCCGAACAAGTGTGAACTTGGCAAATCCGAAATAACATTCTTAAGCCACTGTGTTAAGCAGAAGTGGTATTTTACTTTGCGAGGACAAAGTACCTGCAGTAACGGAGTAAACTATACCATTCACATTCAAGGAAATGAAGGCATTCCTCTGTTTAGTTTATGTCTACCGCCGTTTCATCACATATAAGGCAGAACGGTTACGGCATCTGACCGACTTACTTCGATCTAATACACGTAAATGGGAAGTAAACGATGCCCGGTGTGCTGCATTTTCAGAGATCAAACCATCTTTGGCTCAAGCCTCACTCCTCGCTTATCGTGACCCATCAGCCCAACTTAGTATATTGGTAATGCATTGTCTGTTGCTATGGTAGCTATAATAAAACAGAGCATCTTTGGAAGTTGGCAACATCCCGAATATTGCTCTCGGCGCCTCACTCCCATGGAGACTAGATATAGCGCTTTTGGTTGAGAACTGCTAGCAGCTTACTGCACAATCAAACATTTCCGGCATGCAACAGAAGTTCACGATATCATCCTATTCACCGACCATGAACCTCTAACGTATGCTTTCTATTTCAAGTCTGATCGTTGCTCATCACGATAGTGCAGACATTTAGGCTATTTCTCTCAGTTGATCATCATAATAAAGGCGAGTCGAACTATGTTACCCATGCCCTGTCACGTATCCAAATAAATGCAGTTATCCCACCGGTGCTCGAACTTCCCGCTATGCCAGCCTCTGAATTACGTGATTCCTCTTGTACAGAGGCAATAAATTCTACATCTATTCAGTGCATGGAAGTACCTCTAGCCACTAACTCAGGTACTATCCTCTATGATACGTCTACTAGTCTATTTCGACCCATTGTAACCCCCCCCTAATCTCCGTCTCGTTTTTCATGCACTTCATGGACTGTCTCATCCAGGTATTAAAATCACATTACATATCATCGCTGCATGATACGTCTGGCCATCCATGAATAGAAATGTTGGTATGTGGGTGAAGCAATGCTCACAATTTCAGCGATCATAAGTAGAGCTGTTTGTATTGGCACGTTGTCAACGCCAATGCTCAGTTTGCTAACGAAGGTCTTTTACGGAGAACAGTACCAGGAGTAATGTGACATGATTGCTGCTGGAGTCGGTGCGCCACACCGGAGTGGTCTGTGCCCAGAATCTAAAGATGGTGTTCGAGGGGGCTCAGAATGTAAAACGCCACAGACGTGGGACGAAACCAAGTTGAGCCAAGAAACCAGAAACGACCATAACAACTAAGTTTGAGACCATACGTATGCCAGTAAAATTCGGAACCAAAAAATCGACTGAGTGCATTGACGAGAGCATGGTTGATCAGATCAGCTTTCGCCAAGATTGACTGAAGTCGACGGTACCAACAGGGCGTGAGCTTAGGATAAAAAATTAAATGGAAAAGAAAAAGGTATAGCAAGCATGTAGTAAGGGTTATAATCCTAAAACCAATACGTTGTTTGCTGAAGCTAGTCACGAAAGCGTGCAGACAGATGTATCTAGAGACTGGAAGGTGAGACGAAAGTTTCGTTTGCACATTATGGTTGACAGCTTGGGACTGTAATCCCGTCCGAACTCAAAGGCTGCGTGGTCTGCTTATCTGGAGACTGAAGTCTCATCCGTAGGTGACGCGCGCTGTTGACTGGGACTTGAGATTGATGTCCAAAGGAGACTTAGGGATCCCGCCTGTAATTTGGATGGGTTTAGCATTGAATATCGACTTATGGAGTAGGGCATTGTCATCGACGTGCGTTGGTTTGAGACGATCGATGCTGATGGTTTCGACGCGGCTATGTCCATCAACTTTGGAGGTCTTTCGGAAACGAGAGATTGCGTGAAAAGGTCCTTCGTAAGGTTTCTGTACCTAATCAACTAGTATGAAAACATATGAGCAGGTAAGTAATTCAAATATAACATGAAATAAATAAATAAATACTCATCTGTTAAAGAGTAAACAGCCATGGATTCAATATTCGACGAAGTATCGATTACCTACTGCCTACGTGAATTGACTAGCGATGCATAGTGCTGTTGGGAATCGATACCGAGTTAGGTTATGAAAGCATCAGCAAGAATGAACGTCCACAGATTCTGTGGTCGATTACTCGGGCTGCTCGCTTGCTGTCGTGTACCGTAGGTAGGAATAATAGCCATTTTCAGCGCGTAGTCGAAGCCTTGTAGCATGAGGCCTTCTGCTGTCAGACGATGCGACAGAAAAGTGAGCCACTTTGGTCACTGGGTACCTAGGGCTAGTGCGAAAATCTTCACATAAAGTAAACGAGCAACCTGCGTTGATGGGAAGCAGATAGGTGAAATTCAATGACCTGCACCTCGGAGTATAATATATTATAGCTATCCACCATTTCGAAAGGTGGTTGAAAGTATAATATATATTAAAGGACACTAACAATGTATTACAAGACGATAAAATGGGGACAGATGAATAATATACTCACTAATTGTAGTGGTGTTTCGTGAGTCCTGATTCACTATGATCACCACTATAGACCAATTAAGTTCCTGTCACAGATAAGATAAGTAAATCCATACAAGAGAATATATTTGCTGGCGATTTCGTGATATCTAAAGAACATTGAAATCGTGGAAGAAAAGAGCGGTGAAAATACAGAGAGAAGTGGAGCCAAAAATGGCAGCGATGCAAACTTTGAGTCTGCGTGTACATGGTAGTAATAAACAAAGCGATTCACCATGGGTTATATTAATCAATGTTTCTATTCAACCAATCTCGTTCTCTCATTAAAATAAGATCACAATAAACCAGCACAGATGAATGCATAAATTCTGGTTTTCCCATCTATATCATTTTTATATTCTTTAGTAAATATGAGAGTGATGAACTAACTTCTAACATATTGGATATCCCAGACATTTGAGACCTATTACAGAACTCTCTGAAAAAAACTGTATATATGCGAAGATAATTAGTAGTAAGGCTTTTGTTAACATTTCGGTCAGCTAATCCTCATTGAATAGGCTTATAAAAATTATTTCAGAGAAGTCAAAGTTCACGTGTTTTAGTGATTGTTGTAACTATCCTCTATAGTGACCTCAAAGGCATCATTTCGAATACCCATTTTAACTGCTTTTGTAATGTGATTACTGATAACACGCTAGTGACAAAATGATGGTTTGATGATTTACTTTTTATTCACTTATTGATCTTATATTCAGAAATCTTCTGAATCCAGACTCAAAGCTAAGGAATTCACACAACCCAGTTTTATGCTACCTGTTATGGAACATGAGCGACACCCACCATCATGGCGAAGTGAAATCCCACATTTTTTAATTAACAACAAGAATAACCTCGTGCCAGAACCACGGATAAATGTTTTGAACGAGATCAGCAGAAGTATTTATTTCACTTGACAGTTGTCTAAAAGGTGTTTTTAACTTCAGAAGAAACCAGGAAGAGGAAACAGGATATTACGAAGTTGCCTGAGTCGAACGTTAAACGAAAAGCCAATGAAAACTTTCGCTCGGAACTTGTAGATTTGATACTGTATGTTGTTGTTTTCTCACTATTATATTTAAATAAGTCACGGTGAAGAGGCGTTCGTTGATGGCTCTGGTGGTCCAGAAATGAACGTCAGGGAAAAGCCGGTATTGTCAGATACTGATATTGGCTCAGTTAAGAGTATTGCGGACAGAGAAAAGAAAATTTTAGTAAGGTTTTCATTTAAGTTATGCCTAATTATTCTAGAGGTATTATTACTACATCTACAACGGTATCAATACTGACGATGTGGCTCCAATCGATGAAGAATGGACACAACGTATAGAGTCTTCAATTAAGGCAAATCTCCGGGTAAGTCGTTCGGTTTCTAGATGTGAATATGCATTGAAGTGCTTCTCTAATATATAAACATGTTGCAACCAAATCGAAGGAGTTGTAGCTATACTATTCTTTATTGACCATAAAATGAATCAAGTGTTCTACACTTTGAAATTTTTAGGATTTCAAGGTTAATGTAAAAAGGTGAATCACCCGTTTTAATTCTTCTGGTTCGTCTCTTTGTGTCCAGTCTTCTCTTGAATATGTTAATATGGGATAAAAGCTGACAGCTGTAAATTCTACGGTTTGATTACGCGATTACGAAAAACTTTGGTCCATGATCAACTTTTTAGTTCAAAAATTCTTCCATTGCATGTCCTGGGTTATTTTAGCTTACTTAAGATCAAGCTACTATAATATCCTGCGCGTCACTAGCAATCTATAAATACCACTTAAGTGACAATACTGGGTGTATTTTTGAATTCTTGGGGCTATTATCGACATTCATTAAAAATCCAAGAGAGTTATCTACAAGAACATAATGACTATTTATTTGTGTTATGGTGGATTTTAATTCAAGATGATGGTTAAACTTATTCTATGATTTAAAATTTCCCAAGTGCCTAATATCGTATGAGAATTGAAAAAGGCTAGAAGGAAATGAAATTTTCTAATTATCACTAAGGGTCACTCGATTTCAAGTCTACACACAAATCATAAAAGATATGAGACGCGAATTCATGACTACCGAAATTTCCCCTGATTTTCCAAAGGCTTTATTCAAAAATTATTACCAATGCTGAAAGACGAGTTTTGAAGTTTTACAGGCTTGTCTTTTGTTCTCACAACCTGGGAATTATTATAGCCTCCTCTTTCCTAAAATGTTCATCAGCTTACCACACTACTTTGCCCTAGAAAGCGAATTTGCCTTCTAACTCAAATGATTTTGTATGTAGCGTCCCTTAAAATGTAGGTTTCACCTATTTTTCTTATGAACAGATTTGAACATTCTGTCAGTTTTTTAGATAAATATATTTGTCATATAGATACGTTCAGAATTCGCATTCACACGGGCATTTTATATTAAACCCCTTGTGTGCCAGTTTTTTCTCATATGAATTTTGTTCTATGTATGTTTCGTTTGTTGAACCTGTGTTAAGACCATTATGCGGCAACGTGTAACAACACAAAGTAAATAAATTCTTGACGAAGCTCGCGCTTCAAATGCTCAATGGTATTTAAAGGATGCTAATGTATGCTTGAGTTCTGTCTAATGTAAATGTAGGAAAATTTTAGTAAACAAACATTTCTGATGTGGCTGTCATCATATAACTTTTACTCACCATTGTACAGTTTGTAATCGTAGTTTAACCTGCTTATAATTGTTAAACCTCATACCGATTAATGCATCAATTTTACCGAACTTCACAACATGGTTTATATCGATCTGCATCGTGATAAAATCACTTTTTCTTTCAATCTTACTTTCTTTTGCCTGGAAAATCAAAACTTAAGGCAAAATCAAACATGTTTTGTTTATTTACGTGAGAAATGTTAATCTATTTTATCCTTATGTTTGTTGTCAGGATGAAGTAGTCACTAGAAAAATCAGGTTATTAAGATTGAAAACATTTGTAAAAGGGAAATAAATGATTTCCAGTAATCCCATTAATTTTTCCAGAAACCTACTCACATGGCACTAATAGAAAAGCTGGAAGATGAAATACGCGAAGATTATTTCCTCAGTGTAAAGAAAGCCATCGTGAATTTTACTATGAATGACTCTTCGGATTTAAAACAAGATTTAATCGGACCATCCATAATCTCCGATGAGAATACCGAAGAGCAGCGAGCATCAGAGCGTCGTAAAGAATTATTCATTGTACCCAAACCATGGCATTCATCATTTTTATCAGCGTATAAGTATTGTCAAAGAAACTTATTTATAACAAACATCTGCATCCATCAGTTATTAAATTTATGGCATACAAAATTTGCGTAAGTAAATTTCTTATAAATTCTGTATATTTATTGACGAAATGAGAGGAAACTAATATTTATACTATAATATATTCTCAATATCTAAAAACAGTAGTTTGGTGTCAGTAATGTAAAACAATTAATAATCATGAACTAAACCTATAAGATCAGTTATTTGCTCCTGTTTCTTATTTGAATCATACCGAACATCCAGGTGGCTAATTATGAACATATTGAGCTTCTATCATTTTAAATACTTGTATCATCCAGCAATTTAAGATTTAATGATGTCCAATCAGACTGATGATAAGCCGTATCAATATTTCTGGTAAAATCTAGTGGTATGCTATTATTAACTAGTTTTAGACTTAAGGTTAGAAATGTTTTGCTTTTCATGTCTTAAGTAGTTTCTTAAAAATTAATAACCATTTTTTTTCTAGAGATTTAAGACTAATTAATGTGCAGGAATTGTATTCAGAATCGTCTGCTCTAGAATTATCGGCATTTCAACAAATTTGTGTAAAACACATTGAAACGACAAAAGAAAAATTGATCAAACAGTAAGTCTAATTAGATGTTTATGTATCTTGAATACTCCTCTCATGTACCCGTGGTAATATTTGTTTTAGAAAAGTGTTTCGTTTGCCTGTAAATTTGTTGTAAATGTTCTTTTTGTCGATAAATATGTTTCGCCATGACTTCCAGATCTTTAACATCCTCGTTGTTAACGAACGATCTAAAGAACGAGAAATAGAGAGATAAGTTATTTTGTAGTGAATTTCATTAACCTTCAGTCTGCACTATTATCCGCCTCTATACGTATAATCCAAAAGGTATATATCATTCTGATGAAAATGTAAATACTTGATAATTAAAGTAATATTACTGAAGTATTTAGTGTTTACAATAAGTTCAACTGTTTACTAGTTTCATGTCTTCCCATTCAGATACAAACAGCGTTGATAATTACTGTTTATGTTTTTATTTGGATATATAAACGGTCTTCCTTACCAAATGTGAGTCAAAAAATATTCATCAATAGAATATGAACTATCTGTCTATCTAAAGTTGGTTCTTTTAAAGTAGTTCCCACACATTTTTAACTTACTATCATTTTGAGCATATGACTAAATCTTGTATTACACTCCAGAAAATATATATGGAGTAGTTGTATCATTTTTGAAAATAACTACAGTTCGAATTACATTTTTATCATTATATGGTACTAGATAGAAAGAGGAGGTAAACCAATCCGTCCTTGACTTCCGCCAATCTGATCATATATGAGAAAAAGAAAATGATAGCTCACAATGGGATATTTCTGTGATTTGAGAATAATATCTCAATGACACTGGATAACTTTTCCTCAGAATCAAAATTCAACTGAAGTTGGAAAATCGAATTTCGAAATATTGATTAGAAACCATTATGGGCTACTGCAAACTAATCAGGATCACCAGAGTATCTAAGTCTTTGTACCAACAGATCTAAGTTTAACCAAAGGAATCGGTAATCATACAAATTATTAAGGTTTTTGACAAAATCTAATTTTAGAATTATACTGTGAATAATGAAAAGTAGAACATGTATTCGAAATCACCTAGAATTTTATGCCAAACATGATATTCCCACTGGGATTTGAATTCACCGTTTGTCCATTATTACTGCTAAATCACTAAAATTAAAGCTTGTTCAATGGATAAGAAGTGTTGTACGTTAAGAAAGTTCTCTTATTATTGACATTCCAAAATGAAATTACTAGTCTCCATTCTTAAAAGATATGGAAAAGGTATTCTGAATTCTACTGACAACCATTATCTGAAGTACAATTAACATGTATATGCAGACCGAAGCATGGAATGTGTTCAAGAAACCACCGTATCGTCACTTACTGGTCATTCTAAAATTCCATATAATTTCAGGAAAATTCAGAGGCTTATTCCTTAAGAAATTCTTTCGTTGTTGATTGGAGTTTCATTCTTGATTCATTTACATAGATAAATGTTATAGAATATTGGGGTGAACTATTCAAAAATAAGATTTTTAGTCACTTATCTAATTAATCTATATGATCAATCCATTATTTTAATGTTATATTACTCACTCCATTTATGAGTTGCATTGGACGATCAGTTGATGAAGTGAATATTCATTAGTTGAGATGGTTGTGACGTGTGTTACGTGTGCTCAACCACCGACTGCCTCCAAGAGCGATATTTTATGGTGTAGCAGTAGGATGGAAGAAAGCTAGGGGAAGCCGAACCATAACATGGCAGAAACCCATGAAGTCACTAACAAGTGAACTGAGTTATATCAGTAGATACAGACTACCTGATTGGGGTCCGCGAGACGACAGTGATAGATGGTAAGAGACTTTGAATGACATGGCTCAAAACCGCAACTGCATCTCTGTGCTACGGCAAGTTGAATTGATTTACGTACTACGAAATTCAACGTTGTAGCTGACTGACTGCTTTGGACAATACATACAAATTGAATTAAGTTCCTATATTTCACATTACCATATAAAATACAAAAAGATAGATATCAATGAGACTGATACATAAATACATTCAACTCTTAATAAAAGTATCCACTTAAAGGTAATATGCAGGAATTTCGTTCAAAAAGAACTATGAAATGGTAAAACGGAATAAATTAAAGCCAATCATTTTTCTTTAAGAAAAACTTTGGTCAAAAATCTTTGCACCAAAAAGTATCACTTAGTCATTCACTGAGAACGAAGAGCCTACCGTACATGTATATCGTTCGCTACAGCCTATCACAACATATCAGTTCAGTAAAATGAAATTATCAAAACGAATTTCGGAGTGAATGAATTGGCATGATTGTGGTTAATTGTGGTTCATGTCATCTAGTACCTCTGAAAATTACAAACAGTGATTACAATGACAGTAGATTCTGACCAGGTGATCTGCATCTCTAAAGGAAGGGCCCACTCCGACAGTCACCGAATTGTTGAGTAATTTCTACGTCTTGGTTTGGCCGCCTCTAGATTGAGACCAACCAACCTTTGAATCAAGCACTCACAAGCATCAGGATAAGTGGTGGATGGATAAACCACGTTCAGTAAAGATTCACCACCTTGTCAGGCAACTTTTCATCTTCATCCGATACCCCGACTAAAATCTCAGCTTTACCCACACGATGATGCCAGTGCACTCAATCATCGTCTCGGGGATATCTGTAATCAACAATTAGAAACCTATGAATTTCAAAGGCTTTGTTTTACAACGATGATGTATTGTAGAACGAACCTTTAGGAATTATACTGATCCATCGGTTACTAGACTGGAATCGTGTATATGCTACAACCGACGCAATATATCTGAAGTCAAACTGGGTTTCTGGATCCGTGAAGAGATTTCCTCAAGTAAAGTAAAGCAAATGGTAATTTGAGATAAATGGTTGTAATCACTAAACCTACATTCGTTTGTAGTTAACTCTCACTGAAAAGGTGTAACTGTGATCTTGGTATGGATGATGTTTAACCTTACATTCGACCAGCGTCATACAATGTTACTGTCAGAGACGCTATTGCTGTTTTATTCTGCCTATGAAAGAGTCCTTACAGGACTAGTACGCATAGTGATTATTGATAAGTAACCTTCATTTATGTCAAGTTTGTAGAGAGGACTAAATTTAATCGATTCACTTGTACCAAGCCCCTTAGACTAGTGAATCCATTTCGATTTGGTTAGTAGCTTAAACTGAGTGAGCTGGTGAAACACATGACCTTGGTCACTAAATAATGATACACCAGACTTGATCTATCAGTCGTCCAGGTGGTCGATCTTGGGCAGGATAGCTCATTTGTAACATCGGATATTAAATAGGTTCCAACCTCACAGGAAGCATCAGTACTATCAAGATTTGAGGTTCACTATGTTGAAATGTATCAAACAGTATGAAACCTAGTTCCACAGACTACCTCCAACCATCTCACATTAAAAACAGCACACAAACTGACCACTTATTAGGTCAATAAAACTACTGACCACATTTTTACTTGATCTATAAAATTCTATCAGTATTATGGATCAAACTATCATGATGTTAACTACTATCCAATGACCAATCAGCAGGCGTGAAGTAATGTACTTCTTTTAAAAACTGACCTCATCTTTCATGTAAACTAAAATATTATTCAATAGACAAAATACTTTATCTCAGATTTGATTTATTGCTACAAATATCGTACTTTACAATTTAACGATACAGTATTTACCTTCATTATCTGGTTTGAATATTTTTTTCTCAGATGGCTTAACGATATACAAAATATAATCTTTCAAGGAAATAAACGTAAACTTGTTCCGACTAATGATGATCCATTGAAAGCTGAAGCATTTTATAGATGTGCAGCCACATTGATGACAGAGCATTTACAAATACTTGGGTTAATTTCAATGTTGGATTATAAAAATCTTGTTTGTCAATCCTTAGTAGGTGATAATGATTTACTTTTATGCGTGTTTTATGAATTGCTATTATTGTTATGATTATTATTATTGTTATAAAACATATTAGTCCTTAATAATAATGATTACTTCTTATATTGGACATTTTAAGCGGGTGAAATATTTTGTTTCAATTTATTTTGAAAAATTAATCTTTTCTCATTCTAGCATAAAAAGTAAGCGATATGACACAACGAATGAAACACAGATTTAAGATTTCATTATCAATAAACTCTTTGAAGCCGAAGAAAGTAATGAGATAAGTAAAAGAAACTGATTCATTACTGTGACAGAATTTACTCTTCGTATCTAATTCTCAAATTAAAAAAAGAACATAAGTTTATTTGTCCGTATTGTGCACTTGATATGATGAATAACTAAGTCGACAAATTTTATATTGTTTCCAGACTTAGAAAGATGTAATAACAAGTATCCAAATAAAAACATGTTACTCGAGTTTTTCAAGCTGTTTGGGTATGTTGTTGTTGTTGTTGATATTTATGTCTCTCAATACTTGATATATCTAAGACACCCTGAAAGTAAGACCAATGCTGTACTATTTTCGATAAGAACAAATGTTATAAGTAATAAGTGACAGGTAATCTAAGCTCAACTAGTAAATGTGCAAACCACCTACCTGGTCGGAATCTGCTCAATCATTGTAATTATTGTTTATAATTTTCAGAGGTATTAAGTGACATGAATCACAACCAAACACTGTGATGGAGATTCCTTCACTCTTTTCGACCGCTTCGATCTTCAATTCTAAACTCATTTTATAATTTTCTATTCTACGATCTCATTTGTTCTTTTGGAATAATATAATTGTTTACTAACGTTTTCTTCTACTCCGAAATGTGTTGTGTTAATTCCATGTTACTGTTTTGATATTTTGAGTCAGGCTGTAGTGAGTGATAAACATGTACGACAGGCTCTTTGTTTTCAACAAATGACTAATTGAATAGCAAAACAATCGCAAAAATCATTATCTTTATCAAATAGAATTTTCAAAAAAGATTTTTCTCCAAGCGATACATATATTTGTTATACTTTTTTTCATTTCAGACTAATTCAAATGGTCTACAGCATCCTGGATTTATTGTACGCCTTGTTTTAGATGAGAATATAGTGAAATTTGAGCCATCCATAGAAGAATTTGAAAGTAAACTATTGAATATATTCGATTATATGCATGAAGTGATTCAAAGTATTCCTAGGATTGAAACTCGCCTTTATTCAGATTGGGTAAGTATTGCAAGAACAATAGAAATATTCGAAAATAATTTGTAATACAATGCTTAACATATCCTATTGTAATGTTCGATGAGGACATTTTCCGTATTTGAAGATGTATGGAGCATTTCTTAAACTTACCGTCGTATCTTTGTAATAAGCTTCAGTTTACTCTAACCACCCAATGCGATCATTTTTCTAAAGTTAGCTCGTGTACACAGATATCAAATATATTGTCAAAATAAATCCAGCAGCTTAAAATGTTTAATCCGTGGTAGTAGAAGTATAATTGAATAATGATTCTGGACAAACCGGCACTCAGCTTACTGATTATGAAATATGTCATTTCCTACCCTCTTATTAAATTCTATTCCGAATCCTTTGGGAGAGACAGTGAATATATGGAAAGAGTATTGGCTAGCGTTACTTTGGTACAGCACTTTGGTTGTGAATCGGGTATATGCTATAAAATGATTTAGTCTCTGAGTTGTTTAAGTATGCAGTTTAGTGATATTATGAGCTTGGTCAGTAAGACCAGCCCTATTATCGGATTGTCGTACTAGCGTAGTATATCACTGAAAGGAAAATCTCTTAAAACATTAGTTATATCACTTTGTTGATGTACATTCATTTTGAAAGTCTTTTTGCCTTACCGATTAGAATTTAGATGGTGTCAGTCAGTCAGTCATTTACAGCGTGGAACTTCGTACGTACGTACGGTAGTTCAAGATGCCATACCACATTAACACAGAGACGCTATTGTCAGTTCAAATCCCACTGTTGTAGAGGCAGTAAAAGTATCAGCAGAAATAAAAAAAATTGATGATCGAATATATCATACCCAGGACGAATGGAATAAAAAAAGCACAAAAAATGGACGCACCTGCACCATCGCAAACACTTTTGAGCCATGTCATTCAAAGTCCCCTACCATCGATTACTGTCATATCACGGACCCCAGCCAAGTAGTCTACATCTACCATTATGACTCTTTCCAGTTGTCATTGACTTCATGGATTTGTGCCACGTTTTGGTTTGGCCTCCCCTAGCTTTCTTCCAACCTATTCCTACACCACAAAACATAGCTCGTCAAGGCAGTCGGTGGTTAGCCATACGTAACTTATGTCCCAACCACCTCAACTGATGAAGTTTCAGTACTTCATTTATTCATCTGCCATCCTTACCTAGTACTCGTTTCCTAACGACAGCATTGCTTACTCATCCCATAATACACAGCTAATAATTTGGAGACATCTATAATCGAATACTAATAACCTACGGATGTCTTCAACTCTTACCGCCCATGTTTCACAGACATAAAGTAGGACAGAGCGAAATGCTCAGAAAACGGATACCTCGCCTACGCCATAGGTGACGCAAGTTGACGAGATATCCGTTTACACAAAGATAATGTGTATCTTTTACATAAATGAAAGCATAGAAAATGACTACCAATCGGGAAACATTACTTGACTGTACCAAGAGCAAAGTAATTATGCACATGTTTTTCTTATTATTACAGTAAAATTGTAATAATACATTAATTTTTACATTGTGTTACAATGATTTCAAATTTTTATTAGAAATCTGAGAATACCACATTACATCCAATTATATTAAGTGAAATTATCGAAGAACGTAAATTTGAAGTCAAACAAATGTTATCATTACAAATTAAAGGACCAGAATCACATATACGAGAATATGATAAATATCAATTTCTGGTCAACAGAGAAGTAAGAATTATTTTGAATATACATGTATCTATATCTAAACTTTGTAGATTTTATTCTTTAGAGATCAATCTCAATGGGGTGCTATTAAAAACCAGACAGTGTTGGACAACTGTTTATTTTTAGCATGAAATTTCTCAGCAGTGAATACTCGCGACTATTACAGAAATAAAACCTAATTCCTTAGAGTATTGAGTCGAAATACTAACAGTTAAAATCATTAGGTTGAAATCCGATTAGTTTTGTCGTTTTTAAAAATCATTTCCTACCTATGATAGTTATTGATTTTAGAATGGAGGATCTATCGAGGTTGCTCATTTCCAGGATACTTTGCAGCGTGAAACGAGCTTGTTTAGACAACCATTGAAAACCTAACTTATGTGAACTTTTAGCATACGGTAGAATTTTTTCGGACTTTAAATGTTTCTCAAGACGGGTTAACTAGCATGTTATTCTTTTACTTGTAATTATTTTTCATATCATATGTTGATATTCGAATTTTGATTTGCCGGTTCAAGTTTAACACTTTTTTTCAGTATGTAAATCGGAATGAATCACACCAATGTTTAAATTAGCGATGCTGAATTCTAACACAACAGTTATGGTGCCATTCCCTAACTGTGATAAATTCGTTACAAAATGGAAATTGCTTTTTTAAATTACTAGTTAATGAGATTAGAGTTTGAGTATCCGACATTTTTAGTAATATATACTGTTCGTACTGTTCGTTTATCTGTTTAAAATATCGTAGTTCATTCTATTTTATTTATACAGCCTATTTTGATAAATAACTATTTTCATTACACAAAAAAATTTTTCTATCTGTACAGGCTGAACAAAACATTGAATTGTTATTAAATCCACCGGTACCGGAACTAACAGTTCAAGCTACTGAATCTACTGATGATGATGATCTACAGGAAAATCTTGATCAACAAGATGAATTCGATGAAACAGGAGAAAAAGATGTTTTTGAAAGCAGACCAATCGGACCATCATTTGAAGAATTGACACATGAATTGTTAAAATATGATCGTTTAGTGAAAAAAATTCAATATGATTCTAGACGTATAGTTCAGTTGGGATTGTTTGAGGTACATTGTGATGAATTGATTCGTTCGTTAACTAAACGCGCTGAAAGTATCGCAGATCGTGTTTTGGAACGAATTTTAGAAGATCATAGAATAATGAACAAAAAGTAATTTTTTCATTTTGCCTGTGCTGTATTCGTTACTTTTAAATCTACATATCACATTTTCTTTACTTATAAACTTGTTTACATGAAAAAGTTGACTATTCACGAAATTTAAATTGATTAGTTGCCGAGTAGGAAGCAATAACAAACTTGCTATTTGCTGAAGAGATCTACACTAGAACAAAACTATCACCCAGTACTCTACAGTTCTCCACAGTTATCTAACAGAAATTAGATCACAATGTGAAACTTTAGATTAGCACCTTATGGCAGCAGTCAATATGTGCTTGCAAGGGACCTAGAAAAGTAGTTTTCGAAGTTCAAGTGAAAAGCAATGTCAAATGGAGTTCAGCCAAGTTGTTTGGAAGAAAAATGTCACCTATGTTAATAGACGTTGTTCGCAAATTATGAATGACCAAGCGAAGTTTGAAATGTAAACTACTGTATATCCACTTAATTGTCCGAAAGTTAAATGGTCACCACCAGTAAACAAGGTCCAGTTTTCTATGTTTTTTACGGTCGTGGATGTGCACCACTGAATACCCAGGTATTAGTAAGAGAAAGTCTTCCAACAAATACTGGCTTTCAATTAATAGAGCATTTGTGATCACAAATAAATTACTGAATATTTTCTCATAAGCTAAGAATACACCAGAGACGTTTATATTTAAATAGAAAACAACTGTAAGCCTAGTTAACCTTAAACTAAGCTAAAATTTGAAATTCACAGTCCTGTCAACCAGAATGAATACAATTTAGTTTTATTTGTTAAAAAAAGAACAATTTAAATATTCATAAACTGATGATTAATTGTTCGAAATAATTTTGCTGAAAAGAAATCATTTGAATGAATGAATACTCAAATTGTACAATCCGTATATATTTCAATAAAGAGATTAGGGGATACACTACTCGCTTATAACTTCATTTACGTCTTACCTTGATAATTGTCACTTATGCTTCTCACTTTGTTCACACTCATAGTCTGATTTTACTCATATCTTATGAGTATTTTTCTGGTAATTCATAATACTGAGTGTGTTTCACATGCACTATTTATATTCCCTTTATGGCATACTGACCTTAGTAGCATACATCTTGATTAAGACTATAACTACCTTATTTTAGGCAAATACTTCTGTCCATAATCAATATAAATGTTATTAATATGGGAGACTTGTGTATACTGTAGTATTTTCTAAGTTGAAACCACGAACAAATCTTAGATAGACCACCATTGGAAACCGAAGATCACTGGAAGGCCATTTTGTCATAGTATGAGACTCAACAGTATGCATCCAAGACCTCGCGTTCAGGAATGAAACACAGTACCTTCAGTCTTGCGCGCTAACGCTTAACCTATGAACCACTAAGTAGACATAAAACTATGGTGATGTCTAACTTCAATCAATCCATGATCTTGCACAACTCGACTCGATGCCTCAGGTGGGTAACTGTTTCACGCCCAAAATGGGTTAAGTTCCACTGGTCACTGCTTCTCACTAAATCTTATTATAAATTTCAATATACCTGTGTTCTATGAAGTTAAACTTTAATTTAGATTGATAACTAAACTAATGAATAACCATTTTCAATTACAAATATTTTCACATTATTTAGTTTAATTAAAGAATTTGAAATTATCAGCGCTAAAGCTCTAACTGTTCCAACTGATATTGCACATATGATGCAAATCAATGAGTTTGTTGATCGGACAGAAAAAGTCACAATGAATAATTTAGAACGTGAACTAAGTAATTCCAAAGATCGTTTATTATTTCTCATGGATCATGCACAATTAAATCCATCCGATATGCAAATCAATAGTCAAGTTTTTGAATGGTATACACGTATGACTGAAGTATTTAATGAAAGTCGAAATATTGCCAAAATGAAACGTGAAGAATTCGAAATCGGTCTTAGGTATAAACGTGAAAAATTTATTGAAGAAATTGAAGCATATCGAAAAAAAGTGGATAAATTTCAAGCTTATGGAGATATCAATCAAGTCGAGCGTTATTTGAAGAAAGCAGAAAGTTTAAATTCCAAATTAGAATTAGCTTTAACTAAAATAGATGGATTCAATGCAGATGAAGAAGCATTGAAATGGGAAGTCACATCCTATCCATTACGTAATGAAGTACAAAATATATTGAAGCCATTTTTAAGTCTGTATAAAATAGCAGTAGAATTCAATCAAAAACATAATGACTGGATGGATGGACCGATGGATAAAGTTGAACCAGAACAAGTCGATATGGATGTCACGAACTATTATCGTAATTTATTCAAATTGGAAAAAACATTTGAAACTTTACCAGCACCACGGACAATCGCTACACAAGTTCGTGAAGAAATTGAAGAATTCAAAGAACATTTACCATTAGTTACTGCATTATTTAATCCAGGTTTACACGAAAGACATTGGGAACAAATTTCAGAAATTGTTGGTTTTAAACTGAGTAATCAAGATGAAGGAATGTGTTTGGCCAAATTGATTTCAATGCATCTTGAACCATATATACCTAAATTTGATTCAATCTCTGAAGCTGCTAGTAAAGAAAATAGTCTTGAAAAAACACTAGATAAAATGCACAAAGAATGGGAACCAGTAAGTCAGCAGTTCGATTGACATCAATATTTTTGTATACATGATATTTCTATGTGGACAAAGATTGATCAGAAATGAAGTATTTTGGTTTGGTTTCTAAAATATTTGTCTGTATACACTTGCATTGTTATACAGACACCTGGTGAAACGTTTGGGCCATTTATTTTTCAACTCTGCATATATTACAAGAAAATGTTTTATTTTAGGTTTAATTAAGATGAATATTTATTAATGCACACTGTATATATATTCATCTGTTATTATAGAATATTTACAAATTACTGCATTGTTAAATACGAGAAAATTCAAACGGAAACGCTACACTAGTTGGTTCATGTTTCTTATTTCTTTCATTTGAAAAAAGGGAACCCATTTAATTCACATACGGGAGAATGAAATTATAAGTTCAATAGTGATTTGTTGGAAAACTTTACTGATTGTCAATAAATGGGAAATATTGACCATAGATAAACATTTGTAAATTGTGTTTACAATTGAAATGTGTGATTTGTACGAATACTGAATACCTGGTGATCAGAACTCTCTACTATATCAGAACGTATAGTTTTGAATAAAGCACTCAGTACTATTATTATTACTGTTATTACGATTTTGTTTACAAATTAATCTAAACTGATGTTGATATACAATGTATGTTAAGCTTGTACAGTAACGTCTACAAATTTAGCCAAGAAAGTGTATTATCTCTTGAAGTATTAAATATTATTTTGTGCTTCCGAAAGAAATGCCAATTGGGGATAATATACACTATGAATTTTTCTAGCCGAATTCACAGTGTATGATTGTAGAAGTATTAAAAACTTCTGACTTACAAGTGACTAATTATAAGTTGGTAATTTCAATGACATTTTAAATAAGGACAGTTGAAAATTTTCTTCACTCTCTATTAATATTGGTATTTTCCATTTTTAATCATTTTTGATTATAGATAGAGATCAACTTGGTACCATATCGTGACAGTGGTACATTGATATTGTCTTCAGTGGATGAAATACAAGTAATGTTGGATGATCATATTGTGAAAACGCAAACAATGCGTGGATCACCTTTTGTCAAACCATTTGAGGTGGAAATCAAGTAGGTGGAGCATATATCTACATATGTGTTTATCAAATTATCAAAACTATCAAAACCATTGACAATTAAAATGATTTGAATTAGTTCCTATCATATATTAACACCAGCTAGAGAAATATTGGACACTATTTTCGCTTAGTTTAAAACTTCTTATCGGTATTCTGCCATGACTGAATACGTTTCTGACTTGCTGAGAATCCACTATTACTGAATAAAAGAAGTCAGTAACTGAAAATGTTCCCAACTGCAATAACCTAACTAACTACACAGTGAACAATCTCAATAAATGTTTCACCTCAGTAATCTGTCGATATGGCGATGAATAATAACACAAGCATACTGCATAACTTTTGGATTTCGACTATTAGGTCGATTGCAACGTTGATCTTTACATTTAGTCACCGGTTTTGTGTATTAAAATTGTTGCTGTTATCTAGATTTTACAGGAAGTTTATTAACTTAGTTGAGGAAAAATGGCTAATTGATATTTCAACCTTGAAAATCACTACGTCATTCAAATTCTAAAGTATAACGTTTCAGGCTAAGAGGTATATGATATTTCAATAGAATATTGGAAAAATTTAATTATATCATCATTATATTGCATTGTAATAATATGGAGATCGTTGTTTTACACTGAAATGATGAATGAACTATTGTTAAACCACCATTAGAAACCTGGAAGTATTATATAGACAGTTCGTCCAGGTATAGATGCGCACTGTTGATGAGTCCCATACCAGGACAAAACGACAATCCAGTGCTTCCAGGTTTCTAATGGTAGTCTAACAATGATTCATTCATGATTTCAATGTTAAATCATCATTACTGATTACAGTTTCTAAATTAAATTTTAATCAACTGAAATACAAGATTAGTTCAGTTCGCTACTTTGGATATCATATCTAAGATTCAATTGATCAGAATGATTGTTTATAATGTTGATGCTGTTCAAATTAGATGATTCCTTAGCAAACTACAAACAAATTTTTCTTTCTATGTGGAATGACATCAATTACGGAATCAATGGTAACAGAGGTAGGCCACTGGGGCAGTCTTCAACATTGGTTTGACGAATGCTAACGACTACATGGATTTTAAACTTCTCGCATTTCAGATTCCGAATGACATGGTCAAAGCTTTATTAATTCAATATATTCAAGAATCAACTTGTTATTTAATGTAATCACTGAGCTTTAATTACTATTCCCGCTTTTTTTAGCCAACCACACAGATAGCACAGTTTATCATACTAACTAACTTAAAGGTAAACCCTCCAATAAGTTACTACACTATAATGAAATAATCGACACTTATTTATGTGTTAGGTACTACGTTGTTTATTGTGATCAGACTAATCAACTACTGAATTTAAGCGATCACCGATTCGATAAATAAATATGCTGGATAAATTATACCATTTAAGATGACGGTCAATCAATAATTTGCTTTTTTTTTAACTAATAAACAAATATTACAATGGACAAATAACTTTATTTTTCATTATTGTCTTTTCAAGAGAATGGGAAGAGAAGTTAATTTTAACTCAAGACATATTAGATGAATGGTTAAAAGTACAAGCCACATGGTTATATCTTGAACCAATATTTAGTTCACCTGATATTATGGCACAAATGCCAGATGAAAGTAGAAAATTTACTACAGTTGATAAAATATGGAAAGATTTAATGAAAACTGCTAATAGTGATCGACATCTGCTAAATGTTATCATGATTAATAAAATGTTGGATAAACTACGTAAATCAAATGAATTACTTGAAAATATATTAAAAGGATTAAATGCTTATTTAGAAAAGAAACGTTTATATTTTCCAAGATTTTTCTTTTTATCTAATGATGAATTACTGGAAATTTTATCTGAAACAAAAGATCCAACAAGAGTTCAACCACATTTAAAAAAATGTTTTGAAGGTATTGCATCGTTAGAATTCACTAAAACATTAGATATTACACATATGAAAAGTAGTGAAAATGAAATTATTGAATTGGTTGATGTGATATCCACATCAAAAGCACGTGGTTCTGTGGAAAAATGGTTATTAGAATTAGAAGATGATATGATTCATTCAGTACAAGTCAATATTAATAATGCATTAATGGATTATTTAGAAACACCACGTAATCAATGGGTTAAAATATGGTGTGGTCAAGCTATATTAGCCGGTTCAATGTATTATTGGACAATGAATGTTGAAGAGGCAGTACAAAATGGTTCTGATGCTATGAAGAATTATTTACAAGTATATATGTTTTTCATTATGTACATGTTTTAATTAATAGTTTTGTTTTATTCATCGTTCTTGATACTCTGTGATAAATAAACTTTGAATAGTTCATTTATTATCTTATTCAGCGATGAAATTCTCTTGACGAACACAAATTACGAAGTAAATTACCCTTCATTTTCTTCTCTAATTGTAAGCTCACTAATGAATTACTGTGAAATCTTTCAGACATTCTAGTAAGAAGTTATGAAAAGTAGAGTGAAACTTTTATTCCTACTAGCAACGAATGGTCGTCTCTCTGTATCACAAAATGATCAAAGATGTAATAGTGCAGTAAGATACGAAATCAGTGATGCAGGTGGTTCAGAGTTCACTTTGAGACCTGCAGTCCTTCTTTTCGACACCTGGTGGGACAGTTGATACTCATTATTTATTAAACTCATTGTGAAACGACAAACATGTATTGTGCTCGCCGGTTTCTAATTGTACCACAATTGAGATCAGTCTGTGGGTGATGAAACTTGCATATTAGCTCAATCGTCAATAATGTTAACAGTTCTATAAATTCTGGAGATTTTCAAATGATCAGAGTGACTAAATAGAGACTCCGCATTTCATCCCAGTATGTACCATTTCCCTGCTAGAAGTACGCAGATTTCCAGTGTTCTCTGACCTCCAGTAGTTCTCTGATCTACGTTTATTCATGTTTAAAAATTGTATAATTTATTTATGACTTCGATTATATTTACTGCATTTCTATTCTCTAGTGGAAAATTTCACCGTAACAGTCATTAATTTATTCCTAATTGGTAACAGTAATAATTTCCAAAAAATTTTTGTTTCATTAGGTATGATTACACAGCCGGTAAGAGTTGAGAATATTCGTAGGTCATCAGTATTTGATCATAGATGTCTTCATATATCCTGGGAGAACCAAGTATGCGATGCTGTCGTTAGAAAACGAGTACTAGGAAAAGATGGTAAACCAACAGATAAAGTATTGAAACTTCCTCAATTGATGTGGTTTGGAAATGTGTTACGTATGCCCAACCACCGACTACCTCGACGAGCGATATTTTGTGGTGTAGCAGTAGGATGCCGAACCAAAACATGCCACAAATCCATGAAGTTACTGACATGTGAACTGAGTCATGTAGGTAGGTGTCGACCATCTAGTTGGCATCCGCGAGACGATAGTGATCCATGGTTAGAAACCTTGAATGATATGATTCAAAATCGGTTGTAATGGCGCAGGTGCATCCACCCTTTGTGTTATCTCGAATTCTAATCTTCAAAATTCGTCATCACCTCTATCTTTGTCTTTCTAAATTTATCTCACTGAATTTCACTTCTTGAATAATATCTTCGAACCCTAATCTTCTCAATTACCGCTGATACTTCTACTATCTTTACCACTATGTGATTTGAACTGACAATGGCGTCTCTGCGCTAATGTGGTATGGCAACCTGAACTGATGTACTTACGTACGAAGTCCTACGTTGTAACTGATTGACTGACTGACACAGTCCTTGTTGTTAAGACAACACATTCTTTGGCAATAAAAGAATAAATTGTTACAGTACGTAAAGTGTTTAAAATTATGTCGGTTGCAAGTTTCATCATATTTCACTAAAACAATCCAGATAAGAAATCAGTTATTTTCTCCCATCTTACTTTCAGTAAAGTGAATTTTGATATTTAAACTCTCAGTTAAATTGTTAGGCTATATGACTTTAGAAACAAGTTAGGAATTTGAATATATTGGATTGCCTTCTAGTTTGTATATAGTAGTAACATTTTTGAAGAAAAACTTACATGTAGTCCTTAGTGCACATCTTAATGTCATTTCTCTTAAAATTCCATTTTCTTCTAACATATAATTGTTTTTAGGTAAACAATCGGCAAATAGAAGAAATTGTTACTATGGTTAGAGGACAATTATCTAAACAAAATCGTACAACATTACAAGCATTGATTGTATTAGATGTTCATGCACGTGATGTTCTAGCTGAACTTATATCACTTAAATGTCAATCCAACACAGAATTTTCATGGCTTAGTCAATTACGTTATTACTGGATTGAAAAAAAGCTTGTGACGCGTATGATTAACTCACATTTAAAGTAAGTACTTTTAGTGGTGTATGAGTTATATAATTTTAATAATTCTAAAATGTTGATTACTTATTTTAATTAGATAGTATAAAAATTTTTGGAAAAGTTTCGTGCTATCTTAACCATTTATTCACGTGGGAAATCCGACGATACATAATGTCCGTAAGCAGTTTCTTCAAAAATTGATCATCATAATGACTCGTTTATCTCTTGCTTGATATCTTGAGAGAATTTGTATAGAACAGGAATTGTTTGGTGACTTATGACAACCATGAAGTTCAGGATCGTCGATTCTCCATAGTTCAGGTTTCTTGAACCATTATCATGTATTCGTTACTGAATTACTTAGCCCACTACTCTCGATGGAACATAGGCCGCCCACCAGTATTCCCCAACCTACTCTGTCCTGGGCTTCCCTTTCCAGTTCTGACCAATTTTCGCTCATTCTTCTCATACCTTTCTCTATTTCTTGGCGTAATATATTTACTAGCCTTCCTCTTTTCCTTTGACCTTGAGGACTCCAGGTGAGGGCTTGTCTTGTGACGCAGTTGGGTGCTTTCCTCAATATGTGTCCTATCCACTTCTTCCTGATTTCCTTCACTGGAATCTGGTTTGTTCTCTCTCACAGTAGGTTGTTAATGATGGTGTCTGGCCAACGGACCCGAAATATTTTGCGTAGACACAGGGTATCTCAAATTACACATCATTTATTCTCTATGTATCCGAAGTCATTTGGAAAAAATGCTCTCACATTGGTATAATGAAATGATAATGCCAGCTGTTTATCTTAATATTGTTTTTTTAAAGTTATGGTTATGAATATTTGGGTAATACTGGACGATTAGTTATCACACCATTGACTGATCGATGTTATCGAACGTTATTTGGTGCATTGCATTTACATTTGGGTGGTGCTCCAGAAGGTCCAGCTGGTACAGGGAAAACAGAGACAACAAAAGATCTTGCAAAAGCAGTAGCTAAACAATGTGTTGTATTCAATTGTTCCGATGGACTGGATTATATTGCGTTGGGTAAATTTTTCAAGGTATGAATTGAGTAGTATTGCTATTGTACAAGATAATTATCTAATAGTATTTTATATTTTGCTAATAAATAAGAGTATTTAAATACATTATTTTGATGAAAAAGATATCTGTTCTCATAAACTATGAAAAACTACTAAAAAACGTTCAGGTTTTAATTACTGTTGAGGAGTATGTAGGAAAATTAAAATAGATTTTTATAACTGTGACACAATATGAAGTAAAGAAACGGACAAATCATCAGAGTTTATCGTTGGGTCTAACTTAAATCAGAATCAATAAAACCTTCTGAAGTTGTCAAAATCGAAAACATGTTTATCATAACCTTTACAGAACTTAATATTATTGTGTCCCTTAAAATCCGAGAACCTCATGTAATTAGTTCACATCAATTTCTATTAGTTACTTGGTTTCGTTGTCAACTTATTTCACTGTCTTTACTTGACGCATGAATGATCACTTAAAACTACCATCTTATTTCTTCGTTCAGTTATCAATTTTAAAGTGGTGTTACTTATAGACCGGTCATTTTATTCACTCCAATATTTCCACTTTCATGTTGGGTGAATCTCATAGTTATCCATACTTAAACCCAGTCAACAATATACAAGTCGTGACAAATGTTGCATAAGAAATATGTCGGTTGGAGCTATTATGTTTTGATGAAGTGATCCGTTCTTCGCGTAAACGTATTATTTCAAAGTATATTAGAGGTTAGAGGTTAGACAGTGGTTATTGTTTTCAAAAATCACTTAAAAAGTGATAATTCCATTTGTTTAGAACGTTAGAGGAGTATTCAGGCATTGTTGACATTGTTGGAGTCTTTTTCAAAGATGAATTATACACGTAACGAACACTTTTTTCGAATAAAATGATTTTATAGCTTTTATTTTCTAGCGTAGCTTGATGAGGTCAGGCTAATTTAACTACATTGTGACGAGACAATCGAATAATAAAGTATTGATAGGACTGAGATTATGGGATTGAACATTCGTGTATGAAACCAAGACTCGCATTGCGAATTGATTGATTTCAGAAGACAGTATCACTTTTTAACTGATTAATGAAAGCTCACACTTGCATTAGAGATGATGTTTGAATCACGATAATGAGTCTGAGTCACTGATCGGATAATCAGTAACGACGAGTCAAGAATAAAAACTAATGGTTTCCAAATAACTCTATACTATTTCACTTTAGCTAATCGTAACAGTTTTAACAGACTGCAACTCGATTAATTAAGACTAGTCAGTACTAAGGACAATAAGCAATCGCTTATCAAAGCTGAAGTATCCAGAAGCTCTAAAATGTCAATCAAACTCCAGATAGTTTATTAATAATGTTTCTGTCTCACAAGCTAGGTGATATAAGCTTAGTTAGATATTGCAATTAGGATGTAATATGCTTCTTTAGTTCATTGATAATATTCCCAAATATACTCACATAAATAGTATAGGCATATATCCTAATACTTAAACCATTTTATTTATTCTCTCATTTCAAATAATTTATATTCAGGGACTGGCATCATGCGGTGCTTGGTCATGTTTCGACGAATTTAATCGTATTGATTTAGAAGTGCTTTCTGTAGTCGCTCAACAAATTTTAACTATTCAACGTGCAATTCTTGCAAATCAAACAAGTTTAATATTTGAAGGCACTGAAATTAAATTAGATCAAACATGTGCTGTATTCATTACAATGAATCCTGGTTATGCTGGACGTTCGGAACTTCCGGATAATTTAAAAGTTAGTCTCAATTGTAGTAATTTGATGAATACATTAAATTATAGGGATAAACAGATAGACAACTGACTCAATAACTTTTGTAAACCCTGTTTAAATTTAAAAAGGTTTTGAAAAACTTTTATGACTAATCAGAGCTTGTTTTTTTTACTAAGTTCATATTCAAGGTAAACATTTCACTAATTAACTAGTATTTGAAGTTAGAAAGATTAAGGGTAGACTCAGGACATTCACACTAATCATATGTCAGTTCATAGAATGTTAATCAATTGTCTGTCAGTATTGGACTTGTCCGTATTTTCTGCAAAAGTGTTAATTTTGTATATTTTGTAAATCCCATTCCAAGTGCTAGAGCCACTCCTATTATTAATTGATTACAATTGTATTTTCTTTGTGCACACGTCACCATTTACATTGAAATAACGAAATGGGCTTTAGGTCAGGAATTTTTTTCCTGAGACCTTGGCTAGTCTATTACCTTAGATGAGACATTTTGAGTCATTAAGCATTGATTTTCACTGTCAAATGTATCCAACGAATAAAAATCTGTGGCCATTAACCAATGCAGACTTTTGATAGTTGGGTTTCACCATAGTCTGGTGACACATGGATATTTTATGTTTTGCTCTTATTCTATGTAGGATATGACATGTAAGAAAGTAGTAGCTAAACACTTAGAACGAATAGTTTGATACAAGCTTGATATCACATCAGTTGATTTCCTCTTTTATCCCAATTCTTACTCCCTAACTCCAGCAATGCTTACTAAGTGTTTCTCTCATATACGGCTAGTGACTTGAGAATAGGTTAAGTTAAATACGTTTAGCATGTGCACGACTTTGGAAACAAAAGAGTTCAAAAAATATTTTCAATCCAGCTTTCCGAAACTTTATCTTCCATATACACACCTTTTTACCTAAGTTGGTAAAACGAATCCAGTTCGTTAATGCATTCATCTTAGAAAAAGGTTTTGTGATCACTATTGATACAAAATGGATTTCACAGAAGTTTATTTATTTCGTGAAATCAGTATAAATGTAGACTTCTACTCTTCATTGTATTGAGCAAATTAAAAAATCCATATTGAAGGAAATCATCAATATATCCATTGATTACTACAAACTATAAACTATCAATGTACTCAGTTCATTATTTACTAAAAACAAACTCTACAAGATCACCTTCAATTGCAGATTCAATCAATCAATCACTAGAACTTCGTGTGTACGTAGATCAGTTCATGTTGCCATACCACATTAGCACAGAGATGTAATTGTCAATTCAAATCCAATAGAAGAAGAGGTATTAGCAATAGTCGGAGAGGTTAGGATTAAACGATATTATTCAAGAAGTAGAATCTAGTGAAATAGACTTAAAAAACCA